GGAGGGTGGACAGTCAGGGCTACAGGCAGCCGGCCCCGCTTGGAGGAAACACCCTCGGGTTTTGTCTTGGCAAGGGATCACGGATACGGCGTGAACAGCCGCCTTACCTGTTTTGTTTCAAAAATAGGATCCTGAGCGATGGGTTTTTGTGTTTGTCATCTTCCCACACAGAATCGTTCTGCTCTCCCAGACAAATTCAGGTCTGTCTACAAAAATGGTCAGCGCTGATGGAAATGCGTTGCGGAGCCTTTGTTTCTGGAGGATGAGGTTTTGTGGCAGTTTACCTGGCTATGAAATTTTGCATACCCATCATGTTTATTTTTTCCCCGAGGGAGTATGTTGGGTGGATAAAAGCAGTATGCAGTGTTCAGACAGATATTTTTTTTATTATTATTTTTTCCCCCCCCTGAGCACAAAGAGTAGCTTTACTGGCATCGTGTTGCATGGAGGGTCTGACCGCCACTCTCCCGCCGGCCTGCCGACGGCGTGGACCCTGTGGTCCTTCCCCTGTGGTTTCTCTGAAAGATCGCTTTTCTTTTCTTGGGCTGTAAACCCATTTGGCCAGCTGTTGTCAAAAATGGTCCTATTTCCGTGCAAGTGCCTCAAGAATCCACAAGGAAAATATACCGACATATTTGGTGTGCTTTTGGTACCGGGGTCTACAGCACGTCGCTGGCAGACATCGCTGCTTTCAGGCTTGGGTCTGTCTTAAAATCTCGAGCTTCTTCTCCGATTTTAAAAATGTCACCTATACCGTGCTTTTGTAAGCATTTCTGGATGTTCCTCTATTTTACACGAGCTTGCCTGTTATAATGCCGAGCAGGGTAAATTTCTCATCTTGAACCTTTGCTTCGATGATTAATTTATTTTAATGGAGTCTGGCAGGCTTTCAGAGGAACTTTATTTGCTTTATTGGTACATATGCAAGCTGCAAAAGAGATTTGCATGCCATAAGCATTTGAGACTGAAGGAATGATTGAATCATGATTTCCCGTAGTGTATAAAGTCTTTGCTACCCTGCTTGTAAAATGGTGATACTTTGTTCTGTGATACTAGTGTAGGTTCTGCGTGAAATACGGTGAATTTCGGGAGGCTTTGCTCAGCTTCTCAAGGGTAGTATATCCAGCTGCTGTGCCTTATTCTCGACCACATGTAAACTTGATTTGTTAAGAATCTCCAAAGCTGCTGTAAGTAATGAGGGACAGAAACTACGGGCCTAAATCTGCCTGGCGAGGCTGAACGTAAACTCATTCCATGTCAGTGACAACAGTAGTTTGGTTTCCCCTGAAGCTGTGAGAGACGATTGCCTGTGGATGCCATTTTGGATACATCGCCGTTGTTGTAGAGGGGCTGTGCGCATTTTATGCACAAACATAAATGAAGTGGATAACACGAACACGTAAATCGCAGCCCAGAATTTTCACAGAGGTTCAGGAATGTGTTTTGTTTTTTTTTTTCTTTTGAGTGAGCGGAGGGGGTGAAGACAAATCAATAATAATGTGTCCCTCTTGGTGTTTGGTTTCTTCTTATGCTCAACAGGATGGTTATCCTGATTTCCAGGACACAGTCCAGACACTCTATCAGCAAGACAAAATGCCACTTGCTTTGGCTAAAGGGAAGAGTGAAGACTCGACAGCTCTTAATTCCCAGGTAAACCAACTGCACTACACTCTGAATAATACAGGCCATGTCTTTGTACGTTGATTTTGATGTGTTGTTTTGATGACTAAAGGAATTACCATCAATTTTCAAAGGCCTACCCGGTTTAGCTGTGATTGCATCACTTTTAATTTGGGTTTACCTGCTGAAACTGTTCTGACACGGTGCTACAGCTTTACCCCACTTAGTTCCAGGGAGGCAAGATCTAGTGTGGCTGGCTCGAAAATACGCGCTCGCCTGTCGGGAGCGAGTAGGGTACTATGGGTACCGTATGTGCTGTGCTGCTTGTGTTAGGGGCTATAAATGGAAAGTGCAGGTTGGTGAGTCTGGAGGAACAGAGTGTAGGCATCTTGGAGTCCTCAGTTCTGACATCTCTTCTAAGGAAAGGTCAGTGTATTCAGGGAATGGTGGACCTCTGGATGTGAGAGGATCAATTGCCTTTCTAAAGAACATCCAGCCTGGTGGACGTGCAGTGTTTTGGAGTATCCAGAAAGCTTTCTGTAAGTGAAGACAGACTTCCAATTCTTTCTTTGTCTTTTCTGTAGTGTATCCCAACCTTTAGGCAAGAGACCCATCTCCTACTGCCAGTTGTTGCCAAGGAGGGATCTCATGCTGAGTTGCAACAGATTTATTTTGTATAGCTGATCTGGGCAAATGTAACCACCGAATTTTCACGTAAAATTACATTTAGGAGTTGCACTCCTGTTTTCTGAGACAAGACGCGTTACCCTGTCTTTCGCCACCTGCTATTGCAAAGTAGTGTACAGTCGTAGAAATCCGTTTGTGGTGACACATCAAAAAGTGTGTTCTGATGTCACATAATAGTTAAATGAACTGGAGTTTTGCAAACTTACTTTCCTCTTGTATGTGCTTTAGAGTTTTCGTTGATCACTGCTACGTAACAGTGGGCTAGAGGTTTATCTGAAGCTTAAATGTATCTGCACCTCGACAGGTTTTTGTATGGTTATCAGAAGCATCATCGCAGGTTAAAATTTGGTTTTGTCCCAGTTCGACAACGACGATGTCACGAGCGAGAAATGTTTTGGTCTTTTTAAAAATTATTTTACAGTTTCAAAGTTGTAACGGGAGTGACAGAATAGCGAAGTTAAAGCACCCTTGAAAGTAAACTATTTAAAAAGGGTTTCTTTTTTTACCGCCCAAGGCCAAGCTTGGTCTGTCAGTGTTCTTCTGCGGGGCCTGGCGAGCTCTAAGCCAAGAGCGGTCGCGTCATTACCCTGCGGGCAGGGTCCTGGCTGTGCTGGAGAAGCTCAGGTTTTGCTGGGCTGTTGCGCTGTTGTTGAACTGTGCTGAGTAAGTCAGGGCTTTCGTCGTCTCCCACAAAAAGTTAAGTGCTCTGCCGTTAACAGGCCTCTGTGCTGGTTGAAACGGTTACGGCGTGACCTGAAAGAGAAATGAATTTTTCCCTGTCGATCGCAGATGTTAGGCTTGTACGCTTTCTGTTCTGCGTTCATTGCGGCTCCTCTAAATCAACTTTCTTGACTTGTGATTTTTCTTCTGATTTTTGCAAGATGCTTATTTACATTCTGAAGAACAAGATGATATCGAAAGTTAGAATTCTCTTGGCATTGAAGTCAATGACAAACGTTCAGACGCCATTTCCTCCCACGTTGCTCCGCGTTGTTTAGTTTCGCTCTCAAGAGGTGTATAGGTCTTGTTCTTCTTCTAGACAGACGTTTCACACCTTTATCCCCCACAAACATACTGTCATCCTACACTTTCAGCATGGCAGATTTTTAAGCCTGGGTAGTGCTGTTTCCTAAAATAAAGATTCCAAGATGTCTGGTGAAATCTTGGCAGAAGTTTTTAGCAGATGTTGCCATTGCTCTTGGACTGCTTTGTGGAGACGTGTATTTGAACAGAGCTAACCGGATAATTAAGACGTTATTTTTCTCTCTTCTGGAGATTTTCTTCACGTAACCTGCAGTCCTAACGTGCAGAAAGTGATTTTTGTGTGTTTTGTAAGAAGATAATTGAATGTTGCATTGCTGTGTGGATGAACAGCAGCTTGCATTTTAAGTATTTTGCTGTGACTCAGACGTACGGTATGAAAATCTTTATGGGTGCAAAAATATTTTGTTTGCTCGATCGTTTTGAAGAAACTGTAAAGCACACATCTGTACATATGAGTCAACAAAAACCTCTAGCTAGGCTGTTAGCCTTATCATCTGATACTGGTTTTTTCCCTCTGTTTTGACTTGCTATATGTATGCATATAGATAGAAAATATTTTTTTTTTTTTGCTTTATTTGCAGTCGGAAAAGGTGATGGCAAAACAGATGGAGTTTCTCTGCAACCAGGCTGCGCTGGAGAGGCGTCTTTCCACGGGGTGTTACAGGCAGAACTGGGAAGAGCACAGCCCCAACGGCATGTCGCTGGATACTGCCGACGGACAAGGTACGGTAGCTCCCAGGCACGGCGTCGCTGCCAGCGGATGCGTTTGGCGTGGCGCAACCTTTGTCAGGGGCGTTACTTACCTAGTACGGGAGGCTGAGCGCTGAACGGACGAGGCAAGATCTCTGCCCTGGAGTGCCTGCGGTCTGAAGAGCGCGATCGGGTGCACAGTCGCGTTCTGCTCTGTTCCTCCGATGCGCCTGGGCAAACCGCTTTCCCCGCGGACGCGGTGGGGAGGGAGGAAGGCAGGGTGCGCTGCCGGTACCGAGGGCAGAACTCGGCTCTGGCTGTATCCAAAGTTTTGGCAACAGAGTGGGATGTTGTGTTTGGTTTCACAGAATCACAGAGTGGTAGGGGTTGGCAGGGACCTCTGTGGGTCACCCGGTCCAACCCCCTGCCGAAGCAGGGTCACCCACAGCAGGCTGCACAGCACCGTGTCCAGGCGGGTCTGGAATATCTTCAGAGAAGGAATGCCTCAGCACATATGCAATAGGAGGCAAAGGACAGCACACAGCACAGTTCCCCTGCCCCATCC